GATGCATCAGGCGCACGTACGTTTTTGGCAGTCCATGCTTCAGAAAAACCTAATCCTCATGCATTATGTTGATAATTAATGGTGTATGATCGAGGGTTCCATTCTTGGAACGACGAAAGATCATTGTACAAGAAAGGAACGATACGTATGTATCTATCGCGTGAAAGATTTATTAGTTTCGCGTAATAGCGAGAGAACCAATATTCTTTTCATGTATTACTCGAAGAAATAATTGGGCATTTGTATTTTGATACGTTTTTCTTATAACAATAAAAATTGCACTTTTTTTATTTTTTGAAATAAATAATTAATCGAATATAATAAATAAGTAATCGATAAATTTAAATATAAAAAAATTAGTTTAATAATAAAAAATGAAATTATAATAAAATATATTATAATAATTATAAAAATTACTTTAATATAAAAGTACTTAATACTAAAAATAAATTTTAGTATTAAAATATAAAAAATTGGATTACATTTTGTAAACAAGAATATTTGTTCTTAATAAATTGATTTCGAAATGTGAATATTTTCTCATTCGTTTTTTTTAAACGAAAAAAAAAAAGAAAAAATTAGTATTTTTTTTAAAAATGATAAGATCATTTAACAATAAGTAATTCATTCAAGAAGAGTGGTAGATAAGAAAATCGTAATTCAATACTAAATTAAATGATGTTAAAGAAATTATTTCTCTGTAGGCTATTTCTCGCGGATAATTGCGTTAGATTGTGCGTTACAATCCGCGAACCATAATTTACGAGGGGATCCCCGTCGGTTAACCGAAGCGTGGTTACAGCGCCAAATTCGAATGCAGAACGAGTCACGACGGAATGTTAGCAGGTTCTTTTCGTCTCGGGTTGACAAAATCATTAGGGGACTAAATCCAATAAAGGGACTTGGTCTCCTGCTTGTTCAGAGATCCTCACGTAAGAAAACATTCTCGGTGAGGTGATCGGTTGCATCGTAATCGGTATCAATATATATATATATATATATATATAGACAATGTATCAATAATAATTTTTAACACACGTATAATCGTATTGTATTTTATAAAAATGTACATTATTAATATAATACACATTTCAACAATTTTCTCCTTTTTAAAAATCAAAAAAAGTAAAATTTAGATGCCTGTTGTAATTAAAATAATAATAAATAAAATAATAAAAAAATAATAATAAAAATATATAAAAAAAAACTTTTCTCATCAATCCGTTTTAATTAATTATATTTTTAAACAAAGTACACTATTACATGATGAATTTGTTCTTTCAAAAATTAGAGTTTTCAAATTAAATAAAAAAAATGGAAATATTTGAAATATTAAAATATGGAGATTCGAATTGTTTTCTGCACGATTATCAGTCATGATACGAAACTGATACATCATCGTTGTGCGTAAATCAAATTTAACGCATGTAGTGGTTGATTTTGCTCGCACCGTCCTTCCTCTCTAAATATTCTTTTTGTGATACGCCTCGCTATTAAATTAGCGAGACACTGAAGTCTTAAATAATTTCTTGGCGAGTTTCGTTCGACGCCACGTGTTCGAGGGAACCGGTTCTAATGATACTTATAAAACATGCTCGCAAGTGAAATAAAAGAAATGCTTCTCTAAACGCAATCGACAATTTATTTTCGTTTATCATTCCTTTAATAATTTTGGCCATCAATTTAATCGAATACATATATTTTTTTTAATCATCAAAATTCATCACGAATATGAATTTGTTCACAATTTTTCTTATCTTAGAAAACTACACGTATATTATCTTCCTTACTATCTACTTTATTATTCTTATTTTTTATTCATACGATAGAAAGGAAAAGCAAAGAGGAGAAGCGAGAAGCGATAAAGGAAGAGAGAAAGCGAAGGTTAGAACGGTTAGAGAGAGAGAGAGAGAGAGAGAGAGAGAGAGAGAGAGAGAGAGAGAGAGAGAGAGAGAGGAGGAAGAGGATCGAGTCTGGTCTTGAAAAGAAAACTCTGGGTGGAATAACACTCTCTTAACGAATATCGAATCGATCTAGAAACAGGAATCTCACGAGCATCGGCTCTCCTGGCATCGGAATTGGCCTGGAGGCTCTGCTTGATGTATGATCGGCGCAGAAATGGCTGTCGTCGCGAGGCCGCGTCCCAATAAATCTCTTTGCTTTTTCTCCGCGGACGGACTTGTCGTTCGTGTATAAATGTATCGTTTTCATCAATATTTATTATGGGGAGGGAGGGTAGACCAATTGGAGCGAAGTTCTGGTATAGCGGAACGTCGTCGTTGGGACGTTACTACGACCACTTTGGTCTGTCTCCCATCGGCTTTACCTCTCCCTCCGATAATAAAGATATCCATTATACCGGCTTCTTCTTCCTCGGCCAAACATTTCGTTTTGTCGGCCTCCATGCGTCGTCTCTCCTCTCGTTTTCTGTCCTCCTTGCGGATTCTACGCACCCTTTCAGCGCACTCCGATCCACTCCTATGATGAATATATGTATCGTGCAACCTAACCTAACTTGCGCGTACATTGTTAATTGCATGCCTTTACCGTTTCCAATATCATTTGCGCTTTTCTGCATTTTTCGTCTTTTTTGCATGTCTATTTTTGCGATACTTCATCCTTGAATATTTTGCAAGTATTTGTTTCCGTTAATTTTTTTTGAAAACATTTAATTATGTGTTTATGTCGCAAATAATAATATATATATATATCTTTGTATAATTTGTATTACCAGTAATATTTTGTTCAAATACGTGGATTTTTTCATAAATTGCTGATTTGTATATCTATATTTGTATAATTCGCCTTTCGAAGATCGAGATCGATCATTTTGTTATCGATCATTTCTTTACGAATTCTAGCATTAATTTTTAATTTATCGTGTTTCATAATTGAATTTTCGAACAAAGGGGAAAGAAAGTATTGAAAAGGGCGGCAAGAGATCATCCAGTGCGCGTTTCC